TAAGACATATCCATTAAAATCCTTAACCCTAGACTTGCTGGGGCTTAGTAGGAAATAGGGGAATATAAAATATTCCCTTATGCAATCCCTCTACTAACCCCCAGTAAGTAGACTCCAAGCCTAGATTGAGCTCTCTAGCCTTGTCGGTCCACGCCACGACAGCCAGCATGCGCCGTACCTTTGTTCGCGTCCAATGGGGTGGGGGAAGTGATGCTTCGGAGTTTGTGTCTAAGGGGTGGTCGATTGCAGGTACATTCCCGGAACTTAAAAACACCCTGAAGGAACCCTAAACCTCCAAAAACGCTGAACCTCCCGAACCAAGACACACCCCAAACCCTAAGCCCTAAACCCTAAGCCCTAAACCCTAAGCCCTAAACCCTACGCCCTAAATCAGCCACCGAAGAAAACCCCTCAAACCCCCAAGGTACAGGTGCCAGACCAAAACGCAGAGGCATCTCTAGAAGCCCATGGCGGATCATGTCCCAAAGACCGGTGCCTGAAATCATGGTTTTAGGCTCTGGGAGTTTCTGGTTTAAGGGTTTTAGTGGTTGAGGTGTTGAATCTTTCAAATGTCAGAGTGTTCGGGTTTTGGGAATTTATTCTGGGCTTACAGCTTTGGGGTTATAGGGTTTTAGGGCTTTAGGGTTTTCGGGCTTAGGATTTACAAACTTAAGAATTTGGGAATGTAGGGTTTCAGGGTTTTGGATTTAGGGATTTGGGGTTTAGGTTTTTAGGATTTAGGGATTTGGGTTCCAGAGTTCGTGCAGGAAATTCCTCCTTAAGAGCCACTATCGGAATCCGTCGCTCAGTTCCCTACTACTCAAGGCTAAGTTTTGTGTCTCGGGTTTAGGGCTTCTGCCTTCTGCTTTTGTTCAGGGTTCTACAGGGGCTGAGGGACTCCAAGGGTAGAGGTTTAGGATTTAATTGCTCCAAGTTCTGGATTTGGGTTGGAAGCAGGAAAGCATGCATGCATGCATGCCTCAGGGGGTCAGCCGTTGTCATACAACTTTTCAAACAACAATATATGGGCGTTTCTCAGCATGACCTTTGACATGCCAATTGCGTTTTTTGTGCTCGTACAACTGCATGGAAGGTTTTCAACAAGATCAACAGCAGAGGGGCCTTGGGACCCCTGGGCTGTTGAGCTTCCGCTAACCAGGGTTTAACAAACCAGGGTGCAACGTCAAACTCCAGCATCCTGTGAGAATACACTCGTAGTAAATCCTGCAGGGTCAAGGTCTCCAAATGTTTCCGCTTCCGGGCCATTCNNAAATGGCCGGGGAAATTCCAGCATCAACATGGGAATTTCCCGAGATGACAAGTGTTGGAACTTTTTGGATTGTTTTGGGAAATTGTAGGCTGTTTTTGGCAATTTTAATCTGTTTCCAGCAATTTTGGGAAATTCCCTCCTTATCACCACATTGACGTGGTCACATTCCCCGCTGCTCCACCACGCAAGGTTCTTACCAGAGATTTACTTCTTTTCTAAACACACGAGGAAGAGGACCAAATGGGGAAAACTCAAAAACTGGGGCTGCTTGGGACTGATTGGTGGGGTCAGGGGGCCTTATGCCCCCGTTCCTTACGCCCCTGTTTGCGGGCCTTTGAATACCTACATATTCTAGACTTGTTTTTTGAAATGCACCCAAAGTATTCAGGACGTCTCCTTGGATTGTAGGGTATCTCGTGGGATCATGTGGGGATCATGCAGCCCCAGAATTCCGCAAACCCCACTAAGAGTCCATCTTCATCATATGCAATATTGTACTGCAGTCAGGAAAGGCTTCGCACCAGGGTGGAGGTGTCAGAAGCATCTCGAAAGAACCCGTGTTTTTGAGCTGCGCCCGGCTTTAGCGAGCTGCTTTCGATACAGTCAAGCTTACATTTACTGGCATATGCTGCACGCTTCATATGAGGTCGACCCTAAAACCTAACCGGGCCTCAACCTTACCAACTTACACCCGAATTCAAGAACAGACCCCAAGCCCTAACCGTAAACACTAAACCCTACACCTTGTCCAAACACCCTTTGTTCCGTAGTCTAAACTCCCAGTATCCCCGTTAATAACCCCGACAGTACTCCCCCATATAATCCCCTATATAACCCCCTTTATGGATGGTCTAAACCCTAAACTCTATAAAACCCTATAGGTATCCTCCCTTTATAATGGACTATATAACTCCCCCTTTAAGGAGTTTAGACTACAGCTCATTGGACAACCCACCCTTGTGGCTCTGGGCCAGATGCTGGGCGCATCCTCCGAGAGCAGCATGAAGCAACAGAGTAGCTTTCCTGGATCTTCTTTGAGTTGTAGTCTAAACTCCCTTAAAGGGGGTTATATAGGGGCTTATACAGGGTGTAGTGTTTAGGAGTTAGGTTTTAGGAGTTCGGGGTTTAGGGTCTAAACTCCTGAATGGGGGGGTATATAGGGATTATAAAGGGTAGTATTATAGGGGTTCTAACAGGGGATACAAGGAGTTTAGGCTATGGCTCGCGTTCAAAAAAAATAGCCAGGGTCTAGAGACTGTGTACTCTTGGGGCATAGACCCCAAAAAACTGTAGTCCTTATTGTGGGGATGCCAACAATGAGGGGGAAACTCACAGTTTGTAACATACTGTACAAGCTTGCAGGTATTAGCTGCCCAGCGTCCCTCCGAAGAGAAAGCCCCTCTAAGCCTGGGCTGGTGTGAACAAATTTGAAAAAGAGATCGTAACGAGTATGTATAGTAGAGAATATGGTTTCCTTGGAGTGGTGACTTAATTTAAGTTCCTCAAATCTGTATATGACCTCTACATGACGCCAGTTTCCATTTCATCTTCTATGTTTTTTTTGCTTCTGTTTTCAATTATTCCTTAACAACTACCCAGCAGCGCCTCATGGCTAGCCCGCATGCGGAAGTTGCGCGTGAAAAGCCACGTCAATGAAGCCACTCGTGTCTCAGACTCAGGGAAGATGTAACGGTAGAAAGGACTTTCCTGGGTGCTGCGACAGAGAATGTAGGAATAGTGGGAATAGCAGTTCCCAAATTGTCAGCTCAGTTTTGGCATGAGAGGTTCTACAACACCTAGGAGTCAGGGATTGACCAGTGGCACCCAATTGCTTGCTGAAGCAAAACCAAGGCTCAGCAAACGCTTCAGCCGTGACGCTAGCAGCCGATGCGATTTCCTTACTCATGCCCAGCCGGGTATGGGGTTTAGGGTTTAGGGTTGAAACGGTCACAAGGACTATGACGCGCATGCTTAGGGGATATGTGGAAGATACTTCAGGCATCCCTTCCGACATTCTCAGCTAACCCGAAAACAAACCCTGAATAATGCAGCAGCTCCAAGTTTATGTCCTTTTCCGCCACCTAAGCAATAAGCCCTAAACTCTAAAGCCTTCACCAGTAACCCCAACTAGACAGTTGCTACGGTTTATGTTGAATACCCGCATTTGCAACCCTAAACCTGAACCGCGAAACATACAGTAGCTTCCATGTTCTTTACCATCCTCGCATTCCCAGCTATTCGTGAGTAGGCTTCTTGCTCCTGCAGCAGCCGCAGTGCAGTTTCCTCCATGGTTGAGTTTGGGACGCCTTGCAACGAGGGTTTCCCGAAATAAAGGTACCCCTGAAAACTCGGAAGAATGAAGGGGACGGCGAAGGGATCATATTATAGGGTTACGGTTCGGGCTTACATAAGAATTGCCTGTACAAACTCCCAAGTCCCCCTCTTTGAAAGGGCTCGGAGGAATCTATATGGCATTGAACTCGGGCAAAAGTATATCATAAGGGCTGATTCCATAGATGTTAGGGACTCCCCTTCACCAGACTAGGGTTTAGGGTTTAGGATTTAGGGTATGTTGATATTCTGCCAGCTTGAGCCTGAGATCATGTCAGACCACATGGCAAAGGACCACAACAAACTGCTGCGGCTACATGGGGCCAGTATCATGCCTTAGGAGGAACCCCCACCCAGAAATAGTGACCATGAGGGATAAGGGTAATTTTATGTATTAAGGAATTTCTAGTCCTACTACAGGGTGGGGC